ATAAATTAGTATTTACAGAAAGCCAATAGTCTTTCTCTTTTAAAATATCACTAACCATACTTTCACTAACATCATATTTATTAGCTAAATTTTTTTGATTTAAAAAAGATAATGTTATTTTTTTCAAACAAAGTTCTTTTTTTTGCAACTGTAAGAAATTTTTTTTTTTAAAGGTTTATCTTGTTTATTAGTAAGTTTATTAAGTTGTTTTTTTAAGTTTACTTTTGGCATTATGCAAAGAAAAAAATTAAACATGTAAAAAAAAATCATGAAACACAAGACACAACATATAATATAAAATATTTATTTATTATTCATTTTATTTAAAACTAAAGGTATAAAATTTTTATATAACTAAATCTAATTAAGCAAAACTTCATTGTATCAAAATAAATTCATTATAAAGACAATTCGTTATAAAAAAAGATCATTTTATATATAAAATTTCTGACTTTAATTCATTAAATATAGTACAAATTTTTAATTACCAAATTTAGTATAATAAGGTTTTTTTATATTTAAAAACTATCCTATACTAAAAATCTGTTGTATTGTAAAATTCATTATATTAAAATTTGTTATAGAAAGAGTTGACTGTATTAATTATTTCTTAGTTATAAAATTAAAAATGCACTGTAATATTTAGAGATAAGTGTTTAATAATAATATTAGTTAGACAAATGATTTTATATAAAGCATGTGAAAGTATTATCAATAATAAGAATATTTTGATTTTACTTTCTTATTTTATTTTAAATTGATATCTACATTTAAATTTTTGATTCTAGTAATAATCTACTAAGAGTTTCTTTTTATTGATATTTTTAAGAGTTTAAGGATTTTAATTCTTATGTATAAATAAAAGATATAATTTTTATTTTTAATTATATTACAAATAAGAAGGACAAACATATAATTCTTTGACTATTTTTTTCAGATATATACTTATTTAATATAATACGATTGATTTTATTTTCTAAATAACCTCTTTTTATCACAATTAAAAATATCTTCAGAATTATAATTTTTAAAGTTTAATAGAGATTTTCTCACAATATATTAAGATCTTAAAGTAGTATACTTACAGCTTCGCTATATATATTATATTATTTTAAATTATGTTATTTTTTAAAGTTGTTGATCAAACCTTTGAATTTATTTTCTTTAAGTAAAAAGTAAACTCTAAGATCTTGGTTGAAAAAATATTATCAATTATAATAAAACTAACTTAAATAATATTTTTTATTCAAATAGTTAATATTTCTTTAATATTAGAAAAGATAATTTTTTATATTTTAAATTAGCTTAATATAAATTAAAATCTATAGTAAGCTAATAGTCTTTTATTTTTAAAATATCACAAATCATTCTTTCATTAACATCAAACTTATTAGTTAAATTTTTGTTTTTTAAAAAAGCAAAGATAATTTTCTAAATAAACTTTTTTTTATACTATAGTAAGAGATTTATATTTTTTAGAGATTTTAGGTAAATTAAAGTTGATTTTATTTTTAGCATTTTAAATAAAAATCATATAATAGAAAAGTAAAATAAAATACTTGATATTTTTTAAAAAAAAATATTAATAAAATAGTAAAATGAAATACAATATACAAATGTAAAACGCAAAATATAAAAATTCATTTTTCTTAATTTATTTAATATTAAAGAAAGTATATTTACTATATTTAAAAAAAGATAATATTAAATTATTTTTTATAATCAAAATAATTTATTTTTTATTTTTTATATTTTTGAAAAAATCTTTGTTATATTAAAAAAAATTTAATATAAGTAAATTCACTATAAATAGAATCATTTATATATATTGTATTAATAAATTATAATTCATTAAACATTATATAATATTTATCTAATACAATTCAATATAACAAGACTTTTTTATATAAAAAAATCTATACTTCACTAAAGATTATTATAATGTAAAATTCATTATATTAAATTTATTATAAAAAAAATTGATTGTAATTTAATAATTTTTTAGTAGTTTTTTTTTCTTTCTATTATAAAGCTCATTTTTTAAATTATAGAATTTCATAAATAAATTTATCTGCTTATTTACTATAAATTTCTTTTGATTTACTTTATAAAAAATTAAAATTTTTAATAAATATATAATATATAGTAATTTTTATTTTTAATTATATAATAAATAATTTAAAGTTATAATAAGCTAAAAATTTATAAAAAATTTTTATATTAAAAATTTTATTATTGATCTTTAACAATTTTATTAACATTTATTTTTAGTAATATTAATAATAATAGAATATTATAAAATTTATTATAAAAAATAATTTTTATTTTTATAATTTTTATAATTTATTAAAAATTTATAACTTTTATCAGTAATAAAGTGATTCATTTAGTTTAAAATATATAAATTTTAAGAAAATTTTTAAAAAATTATTATAATAAATTTTATTTTAAAATCAAATTATTTAAAAAGTTCTTAATAAACTTAAATATTAAAGAAAGTTGATAAAATATATATTAAACCATATTTTTTTATATAATAATTACAGTATATTATTAAAATTAAAATTTTATATTTTATTAAATAATTAAAACTTTTTTTTTTTATAATTATAGGCAAATTTGCCTACTTTACAATTTAAGAAATAATATAATAAAAATTTATAAAATACGTTAATTATATAAATAAACTAAAGTTTTATTTAATTTTAAGTAAATAACATTTTACTTTTTAAAGATAAAAATATAAAAATAGAAATTATTAAATATTTTAAAGAAAAGCAAATTTTATAATAATAAATAATATATATATATTTTATATTTTTGCTTATTTTTATTTTTTTTTATTTTTTACATTTAATTTCTATTTATACTGTATACAGATGTATTGTATACAGTCATGTGATACAGCCGGTATTAACATTACTTTTACCAATATGAAGAAATTAAGAAATTACCTGTATAACGTCCATGTAACGGTTAATGAGTGATAAATAAGAATTTTTCACCGAAAAATTTAAGTTCCTGATATAAATAGTAAAAACTAAAGACTGATGGATGTGACGCCAGTGCCAAGTATATATCACATGACACAGGTACATACACCCATATCACCAACAAATTTTTTACCCTCACGTGTCCTCAATAATTCGTCACCCAACGTCACACCTGCCAGATTTCCATTTTTCATAAGTATTCCATGGACAGAGAATTTTTCGGTATGCAAAAGCTTATTTGTCGCTCAATATTCATCACATGGTTAATTTCTTAATTTTGGCCGAGTTCCGTAATGCCGGCCAAAAGTCACGTGGGGTAGAAAATTTGTTGGGTGATACTGGGATAAATACATACACCCCGTGTAAACTTAAAAATTCTCTAAATATAAATATTTTAATTAAAATGTCAGTATATTAGGTTTTATTAAGAAGATATAAATATAATATAGTACTAAAGAAATAGAAACCTTGACTAATATATGGGTTGATTGCTAGAAAAATCAGGTTCTGGGAATTTTTTAACGAAATTGAAATTTATATTGCATTTTAGTTTTGATGTTATTTGATTAATATGCATTAAGCTCTTAATTTTAGTCAAAAATTTCTCGGAACCTGATTTTCCTAGAAATCCTCCCATATATATATTAACTTCTATAGTAGAAGCTTAAACTTGGCATAGCTTCTTTAAATAATGACATTGGAGATTGGACTCCTAACATGAGAGAAAAAAAATTCCCACAAATCTTGAGTTAATAATATCTACACCTTCGGCTCTAGGCAACGCTAGCCTATCACATTACTGGCTTGTTTTATTTATATAATATTATTTATTATCATAACAAATTTGATTTTGATATATTATTTAATAATTCATTCTATTACCAATATATGAAGGAAAATCAGGTTCTGGAAAACTTTAATTCAATTATTTTTCATTATTACCATGTATTTTGTGGAACAGATAATTTTTTCTGCGAATAGAATCTTATTTCAATGCTAGGACAATAGTCACGTGCTATCGACAGATTTTGCTGGCAATATTACAAAGAAGCGAAATAGTTCATTTTCTAACTTAACCGTAGGATTAGGGAGTAGTGTGTTGTTTAAGGTATTATATTATATTATACATAATCCAAGTCGGGTGTGTTCAATAGTAATCGAATATAATTTTTTTTTCCATCAATTATTACCCTATGAAATTTAGGGATTTCTCATAAATCTACTTATTCGTTATATTCTAAAAAAAAATGTCTTCAATAATGGATAAATTATTTGTATACTCATAAAAAAAGAAAAAGAAAAAGAAAAAGAAAAAAGAAAGGTCTTTATTAGTTCCATTTTACGAAAATGCATGTTTCAAAAGAAAGAAAGAAAGAAAAAAAAAAAAAAAAAAAAATACGACAAAGACAGTTTGGAATTGTACCAATTAACATACGGACAAAATAGATCCAACAACTTGGTAGATGAAAACATCAAATATTTCCATTAACGAAAGACTGGTTGAATATCACATTTAGGAGAACGTTCTGCCAGTTTTAAAACTAACAAGGAATAAATTACACCTTGTTCTAAATATATGGAAATTAATGTATTTTATTATCACGTTACTTTTGCTGCGCCATATCATTTAATTTATTTATTACCAAATGAAGTAATAACAGCCTGTCTGCTAAATTTAGACGACAAGTTTTAGAGATTCAAATATCTGTCTTTGTTATCAACTAACAAATAATGTCACACCAATAAATCAAAAGATTTGAAAATTCGTGGTCCTTCTTAGTCGAGAATGGGAGGAGATGATACGCACGTTATATATAAACCCACTGAAAACTTGAATTTTCCACAACCTCATTCTTCGAACTTTAGGAACCTATCTACAGCAAGTCTTTCCTTACAAATTGTGTGGCATACTTACTCTCCTATACTCTCTGGAAGAGTTAATATACAAATTTATTAGACAATCTTTTTTCAAATCCTTCTACATCGCTATCCTTTTCCTTTCAAACCATGAAAACCATCTTTTTGGCAATTATTTTACTACTTGTTATTAACGTATCTGGTCAAGGCCACATGATTTCACCTTTGATACGTATTCCACATGGCGATGTAGAAAATAATTTATCCATTACTCGCTCTCCAACATCTTCATACCCTTGCGGACCAAGTCAGAATATTGGTCATGTTCTAACACATTACATTTCTGGACAATCTGTCAACATCAAATGGGAAATTGGAGCTGTACACGAAGGTGAATGCTTTATTGACCTTTCAACGACTGGATATGACACTGATTTCAAAACTATTGGATCTATTCAAAATTGTGCGGATAAAATTGGAGAGGATTTCCAATCAATGATTCAATTACCAATTAATGTTACTTGCGATCATTGTACATTACGCTTCAGATGGTTAGCTAAATTAACAGGCGAAACCTATTTAAATTGTGCTGATGTATCTATTTCGGATCCTCAAAAAGGATTAAATATACAAAAAATGAATCGCAAACGTGCTTGTCGAACTTGTTATGGTAGAGGTGGTTCAGTTAAACGGTCTCTTAACAGTAAACGATTTTTATAAAAAATTGTACCGGTTTTTTTTTATTTTGTAAAATTTCCTAGAAAGTATTATCATTTCATACATCTTTATATATCATACCTTTTCTTTTTTAGATGTATCATACATACTCGCATTCATTCCATCCATACATTTGTAAACTTGCATTATAGATTGGTGTCAATACCTTTTTTTCTTCAATGTAATATTTTATTCATATTTTCATTGCATTTTCAATAATTCATTTGCATTTTTTTTATAAATATTTTCAATGTGGCAAATAATATATTCGTTGATAATTTTCTTTCAAGAGTCTATGTATTTGAATAATACATTTTAATGTATTATATTTATAAATTCATGAAAAAATAAATACACTTTTGATAAAGTAAATGAATAATTTATAGTTGTATACTAACATTGTCAATACTTAAAAATAGATTTTATTAAGTTTAAGTTAGAAATTCATTATCTTTCATAAAATTATCAGAATAAATTTCGCCTTGAAGTTTTTATCCATTTTAACTATCATTTTTTCTCTATTTTGGCTCTTTTAAAATTTTTCGTCTTTGATATTTCTTCTTCTATTGTAACTTTACTACTATGAATCATAAATCTCAACGTCAATCAACTAGAAATATTGCAGAATCAAATAGTGTGTGTGATTCTGATAATTCAGATAATTGTATAGAATCATCTAGTTAAGATGAAACGATTATCACAAATATTATTCTTGGTATAAACACATTCTTTTTGAATATGATGAAAATAGATTTCGAATGACATTGCAGATGAATAAACAAACTTTCTGGGTTATTGTAAACATGATTAAAATTCATGTAATTTTTAGTGACCAACAAAATTTACAGCTTTCTGTCACTTTATTTCTTATTTCTGTTAGGTAGAAGATCTCTTTGAGATGTTGCGTCAAAAATTTTTGTCAGATCAGTTGTTAACTATACACAAAGGATTATTATTGCTATTCAATCTTTAGATCCCAATATATTATTTGGCCACAAGGAGACTATAGAAAACAAGTTCATAAATTTGCACAGATGTAGGTGTAATTGTGTTGTTGATGGAACGCATATTAACTTATTTGAAGCACCTAGCAAATTAAATAAAGATGTATATATTAAATAGAAACGACATTATTTCGCATCTATACATGATGCTAAAGTTTTTTCTAATTCATCTTTATATATTCAACAACACGCTGATTCTGCTTACCCTATTTCCAAATTTAACAAAAAACGCGTGTTGTGGTAGAGCAAACATTTGGCAGATTAAAAAATCGATTTCAATTTTTAAAAGAAATGAGAACTAAAAAAATACCAAAAATTGATATTAAATTTATGTTTGGATATTATCCCAAGAATACGATTAAGTTCAAGTAATGTAATAAGATTTGTAAATAATTAACGTCAAATAGATAGAAATGTCGGTATATAAAACGTCAAAATTTGATGGATAATGTTCTTTAAATTTAATAGCGAAATAATTTTCCGATATTATTTAGTTTGGTATCATAATGTCAAGTAGTCTAATTTAACGGAATATAATACAAATGCCTCCACTTGAGTTTTATCGGGGAGTTCGGAGCTTGTCCATTTTTAACATCAAGGATAAGTTCACCAGGAAGGGCGGTTAAAACTTTCTTTGATTTCATAAGAGCGTGAAGTTTGACATAATCATCAGTATCACCGACCAAGGTACAATCATCAAGTATTTCCATCTTTGATAAGCTTTTTTGTACAAAAAACCAAAGGGATCGTTATATACCAAAGGCATTACCACATTTATCACCAAAATTAGCGACACGAACTCCCAAAAGTTTAAGTTTGCTTGACAAATCACCTCCCAAGAATCTTTTATCACCATTTGTGGCCAAGTTAGTCAATAAATCATACCGCTATACAAAAACACTTAACCTGTTGCGTAAACGATAGGAACACTCGTTCGTAAATAACCATCAACAAGTACTCCATCGCGTTGTGTGTTGAAAGCCCCGATGCCTTAGCGAGCTCGTCACGTGGACGAATACTCGCAACAACGATTCATACTCAAATATTCCTGAAACTTTCCCTTCTTCGTACGTGTACTTTCCTTTAGAGGTACACTGAGAATACATTTGATTCCAAGTTTTCAATTTTTTTGAAGCACTTTCCTCCTACGGTATCCAATTGTCTCGCCATCAATAATGGAGCTATTTCAATAAACCACTACTGATTACGGCACTACATTTGGAATTTTACTATAACTTATGATATCGGTCAAATCTTTGATGGTACAATACACAAATACACCAGGTTTATCCCAACCAGGAATCGGCGGTATAAATGCATAGGATCCTGTGGACAATATACACGTTTCGTAAGGTACATATATTTTGCTCGCAGAGATTACATTTTGTGTCGATTTTGGTCGCCTTTTCATTTTGTGCGAACGATTCCATTATTTTCTGAATACCAGCCTAAAGGTTGCATCAACATTCGTTCTTCCTCTCGATGAGAAAAATATTGAGTCAACCCGACTCTGTTGTATGCAATTTTTTTTTCTTAAAAATAAGAAAAATTAATCATCCAAATCCGATTGAAACTTGATTCGATTTAAAAAGAAAAATAAAAATAAAATAAATTTTACCTTAGTTCTAGACTTTTGAAGAATTTAATATATCAGAAATTAAGAAAGCAATTATGAAAATTTAACATATCAACTATAAAGTATAGCTTATGATGCATACTCCGGTCTTAGAAATTATACACCAAAAAAAAAATTATTTATTTTTCCATTTTTATATCCTTAAATTACCGTTAATTGGTCGTAAAAAAAAAAAAAACATTTTGTTTTAATTGGTCAACTAAAAAATATCTTTGGGTTAATTAACGCCCTTCCCTAAAAAATTTTTACTTCGGTCTAAAAACCGGTCTACCGACTTTTCTTTACCAATCTACGTAAGCAAAACACCTAACCTACCTAGCAATAGCCTAGTCAAGCAGAGCCAGAAAAGAAAAAAAGAAAAAACAGTCCAATTGAACACGTCTTGCTGAGAACCGACTCTTATGTTGGTTCCCTTGAATCTTTAAAAGATTCTGAAATGCTTATTTACAGGTAATTTTTATAATGATTTCAACACGTCTTACATAATATCTTAAGTACAGTATGTATTCTCATCTCATATATCTTTCTTAGAGAATTTACTTACATACCTGGACTATATAAAATAGTGGATAAATCTTAGTAAACGCTGCTGACAATAATGTTACTTTAATCGTGTTGATTATTTAAAATTTTTTCGTTAATGTCAAGTTCGAGACGATAAAATGTACCTTATTAAAGTTGATATTTATGAAGAAGGAGGTCAAATTTCCATCTTTAATAACGGAAAGGAATCCCTATTGAATGCACAAGGACGAAAATTCTATATGTTTTTTACATCTTCAAATTATGATGATAAGGAAAAGAAAGTTTCTGGTGGTCGTAATGGTTTCGGTGCTAAATTAGCAAACATATACAGTACTGAGTTCATTTTGGAACAGTTTCAACAAAAAATATCGCCAAACTTTCAGGAACCATACGAACAACCAATTCTCACTACTTGTTCCAAAAATGCCGGTGATTAACGTGGGTCATCTTTAGGTCCGATCTTCAAAATTTAAGATGACTTGGTTTGATGATGACATAATTTCCCTCTTAAAAAAGCGCGTATATACGATTTGGCGGGGTGTGTTAAGGAATTTCAAGTGTTCTTGAATAATGAACAGTTAAACGTCAATAATTTTAAAGAATACATGCAATTATATGCGAGTGATCGCGAGATTTACAATCCTCATTAGTGTATGTTTTGTGACCGATGGGAAATTGAGGTCCTTCCTTCCAGTGATTCTCAATTCCATCATGTAAGTATTTGTTCTTTTTTTTTCCTTGATCTTGTTATGCGAAAATTCGTATAATTCTAACATTATTTCGTTATTCTTTATTCAAAATAATAGATAAGTTACTACAAAAGGAGGTACCCACGTTAATTACATCGCAGATAAATTTGTTGAAAGAATCATGACAGCGGTCAATAAGAACGCAAAATAAAAAAGAACCACATCAAAAATCATATGTGGATATATTCATAACTGTTCGATTGAAAACCCATCCTTCGATTCTAAGACGAAAGAAAATCTTACATTAAAGCCGCATCATTTGGATCCAAATGACGCCTTCTTTAATAAACGTAAGTAATTGTACTATTCATAGCATATCATACAACTTTATTTATACTTTAAAAAATATATAAACATGACCCTTTGATTTTTCTCCTATATAATAGTTTTCAAATGTGGTATATTGACCACATTCTGGGCGAAGTTAATTATAAATTAAATAATGACAGACGGAAAATAGAGCAAGAAGTAAGTAAATTGATTGTTGGGAGATTGATAAAAAAAATTTTCTTGTTAATTAAATTCCGATATATTTTCAATCGAATCACTGTATTTTAAAATTGGAAGATGCAATGAACGCTGGCGGTAGAAATGCTAAGGACTGTACTTTAATCCTTACCGAAGGTGACTCTGCAAAAAACTTTGGCAGTTGCCGGGCTTGGACGTGATAATTATGGGATTTTCCCACTCCGGGGATAACTTTTAAACGTTCGTGAAGGTACACACTCCCAGATCATGAATAACTCAGAGATTCAACATATAAAGCAAATCCTTGGATGAAGCAAGGAAAAAAATATACATCAACAAGCGAATTACTATATGGGCATCTTATGATCATGACGGATCAAGACACGATGGAAGCCATATAAAACGATGATAATCAATTTCTTCGATCATTTCTTTCCCTTCTTGCTAAAGTTCCGGGTTTCTTATGGGAATTCATTACACCGATTGTAAAGATATGAAACCATTAAATCACGCTAATAATAAAATAGTCGTGAGATCCAATTATAATGTATCGAATTTATTAGTGTACAAAGGGTGATAAAGAGGTGTCATGCCTGAATATGCTGATATGAAAATTGGAAGAAAACGACCCTAATGCTAAAATTGGAAGGTCAAATATTACAAGGTAATTTCTTATAGATAATTTTTACAACAATTGATTTTACTAACTAATGCTGTTGTAATATCATTCTATTTCTAGGGTCTTGGCACTTCTAATACCCGGAAGCTAAAAATTATTTAAAAGTCTAAAGCGTCATAAAAACCCTTTTAGAGCTCTTCAAGATGAACGGGAGTTGATCGATTTGGCCTTTAATAAAGAAAGTTGATGATCGCACGAAATGGTCAAGTAACTATGAAGTTTGTATAGATTTTTTTTTTCTGTTTCCTTGATTCCAATCAGAATGTAACCTCTTTAACGAAAATTCCACATTCCAAAAAATTTATATTCTTCCATCACGGTACCTACACGAATCATCATGAGGAAGAAATCACGATAAAGAATTTTATAAATAACGAGTTGATCTTGTTCAGTCAAGCCGATAATGAACGTTCGATTCCAAATGTTCTCGACGGATTAAAACCCGGCCAGAGAAAGGTTGTACACGTGCTTTAAGAAATAGTACAAGAACGAAATTAAAGTTTCTTCATTAACCGGGGCTGTTTTAGAACAAGCAGCATATCACCATAGTGATGCACAGTGGCTCGCGATTTTGTCGGTCCAAATAACATCAATATCCTTCAATGGCGAAGGTCAATTTGTTACAAGGGAAAAGATGCATCTAGTGCTCGAAAATATTTCATCCTCATGACTCATTACTAATATATTGTAATGATGATGGTCGGCTGGTAGAACCTGAATGATATTTCCAATTCTGTCAATGATCCTTGTTAATGGATCTGAGGGTATCGGAACCGGTGAGTTATTTAAAAACCAGCATATTTAGTATTTCGTAAGACGAATAATAATAATCTTGATTTATCTTATAATTATTAGGTTGAGTTCATTTATTCCAAATTACAATCCTCGCGATATCGTTAACAATTTAAAACGATTAATTAAAAATGAAAATCCAATTCCAATGCATCCCTGGTATCGTG